TCTTTATGTTAATATAAACATATGTTAACGTATTTTTATAAAATAAATGAACTTTTGGAATAAATAAATAAATAAATAAATGATGTATCGTTTTGTCCACGCTATTCTATCTTGACTGTAAAGTCGTCAACGTGGTAGTTTGCACAAGATCTGTATCTCAGAAGCTAAGATCCCTTAAGAAACACGTTTCCCCCATCCGGTGTCGTTCGATTAGAGTACCGGTTCCATTGAATATGTATACCGGTGATCCCGGCAAAAGCGAAAATAGAGATTTCGGGGGATAAAGTGGTATTGATTTACGGTGGTTCCCGAGCGTCTATGAGGCCGAAATAGGTGCCGTGAATCGTGGTTTGCGAGCCAGCGTGGCTGTAATATGAAAGCGATATTTTTTTCGCCTGAATCCCGTCTTTGTTCGGCAGCAATTTACGCGCGCGATCGAACGAATTAATAAACGGAGGCATTGCACACTGCTCCCTCGTCAAACACAGTAGGATGACTCACTGTCGCCGTACAAGTTCCTCACAGATCATATAATAATTGTACTTTCAAAAAATAAAGCACTTTCTAAGCAGTACTAAACTGCACGCGTCGGTAAATCAGGGAGTGATAACACATTTTTCGCAAAATTTCGGCTCGCGATCTGAGTAATCAAAATTCCTTCTCGCAAACATCATTTTTATACAAAACGAAGCTCTGCGCACAGTTTCGGCTAAATTGGAGCAGAAAATCGCGAAGGTTACTAAAGGTCAAACGCTTTTTGCAGCATTTCGAGCTTAAACCTCGAGTTCGCGAAAAGTCCTTCTCGCAAATATTGTTTCTATCCGAATCGAAGCTATCTGCCAAATTTCGCTTGAATCAGGCTTCGAAAGTTCAGCCAAGATTTTGAGGTAGACGATTTTGATTTTAATTTCGTCGCATGATCAGAATGGTTCGTTTGCCGGTACGTGTGGCGATAATCGAATGAACCGGCGCCCATTGAATATCCTGTGATGAAACCCGAGTCTTCGGGGCGGTCTTCATTTTCTTGACACTTCAACGATTACATCCGGAGGATGGAGCTGGGGACGGGTGTGGATTGGGCGGGGAGGGGCGGGTGGTTCGTTTGCCAGCTCGTAAAGACCGATGGGGCGGTCGGATAGGGGCGAGTGTGACACAATGGCACCAGAATTATTCATAATTTTCGCAAGTTAGTTTAATAAACTTAAAGCGAAGGTGAGCATTCATCAGAACCGCGGGCTCGGGAGACCGTGGCTCGAGGGTAAGGAAGGAAGGGGTTATAAATACGTCGCGAAGACACTCTTTAGCCGGCGTAGTGGGAAGAATGGGGCGGCGTGGGCTCGGGCCGGGCGGGGCGGGGGCAGCGGGCGAGGGGGGTTAGTTACATACACCTCTCGCCCGGGCCCTGATTTGCATGTCTAAAGCGCGAGTTTAACATCCACCGAGTGTCGCGGCACCCGCGGGGCAGGGAACGGCTCATTTAATCGCGGAAAGAAATCCGGCCGGCTGAAAACCGCCGCGGGGAGAGGACCTTGAGAGGCTGAGGGCTTACAGTGACCGGGTACCTTCCATTCAACCTCGGCGATCAATGCCTGTTTTCTTACAAGGGGACAAAAAATGTTGCGAAATTATTGCGGTTTAATTGGCCGAGGGAAAGCAGTGGACTTGGACACAATGGCGTAAGGAGTGGTTCCTTCGGTCATTTGGATTCTGTTAATCGTAATAAAATTTCCTCCACGAAGGGATCTCTTTGGGGATGAATAACTGTGTCACTGAAGACGTTCCACAAATTCTTCTTTGGGGTAAAACTGATATTTTTATTCTATTTTGATTTATTGTATTAAATCTACTAATTATTATTAATTATTATATTAATAATAATTATTATATATAATTAATTTTTATATTATATTAATAATTATTATTGTATTAAATTTATTCCCTTAATGAATACTTCCTTCCTAAATATATTCAGAAAATTTAGGTACGATTTTGAGTAAAAGCAATATTTATGTACGGTTCTCAGTGAAAATAAAATGTATACAGGGTGTTCCACAATTATTTTAACAGCCGAAAATGAGGGGTAGCTGAGGTCATTTGAAGTAAATTTTTCCTTTGTTATGTCAAGGTCATATCAAGGTTATGTCAAGGTCATGTCAAGGTCTTGTCAAGGTTATGTCAAGGTCATATCAAGGTTATGTCAAGGTTACGTCAAGGTCAATCAAGGTCCCTTACGTCCTTTAACACGATAATTATTTATTAAATTAGCTTTGCGAATCATTCGTTGAACTGTGTTCGGACACGGAATTATTTAAATTAAAATATCATTTACGTACTTTGTTAATCTTCACTATACACCTTGCTTAAAAATTTCATATGTTACACACAATGTGTCATGCACACTAGAAAATTAAAACGGCCGTCACGCTTAAATTACTTACTATTTCGGGTCCGAAAAATTAGTAAATATTCTTCAGACGTTCTAAAGTAAAGGTTAACAGCGTGTTTCTTAAAAATATCACTGTTACGTAGTAAAAAAAAATCCGGAGGGTTCTCGCTTCGTGATTTGTTCAATACTTCGAACGCGGCTCGAGTCCGTCCCGACCATCTGTCAAAGCCTCGTGCTGCGGG